CCCGCCGCCCCTTCCCGATCTCGTCCGCAGCCTCCCCTCGGCCGTCTAGGCCTCAGCGCCTTCCCGGTCAGGCCGGGATCGGAGCCCGGATCGCCAAGGCCGAGGCGAAACCGTCCCTGTGGACGGGCCGAGACTCACCTGCCGAGAGGAAGAACCTGCCGATCTGGACGAAGGGGGCCGTGGCGGTGAAGGACTCCACCGCCATCGCGCTGGGGAAGAGACGGGTCGTCGGGGACGGCCGGGCGTGGCAGCCGCCAGTGTCCCGGGGGCTGTCTGTGCCGTGCAGGTCCCCACGGGGGCGACAGCCCGGCCCCCCACCCGTCAGACGGACCCTCCCGGACTCCACAGCCCGGCCCGGCCCTCCCAGCCTGGACGGCGCCCAGAGCCCCGACCGCCCTCCCGGCGCGGCCGTCCCTCGCGCGGCCACGCCCCAGCCACGCCCAAGCGTCGCGCCCCTTCCCCACCCCGTGCCGCTGGGAGCTAGTAACTTCCCTCTGCTGAGACCCCGCAGCCCAGGTCAAGCGCCGCGACCTCCCGAAAGCCTTTCTTGCCCGTCCCCCCGACAGGCGCGAACTGCGAAGAGAGCGTCCCCCTGGCGCTGTCTGTGCAAATCCCTTAGGCACCGCGTCCGGTCCCTGCGCGAGTGACGTGTTTGAGGGGAGCCTGTCTGGGGCTGGGGAGACGGCTCTCGCCCGCGTTCCCGATGCCCAGCACCGGGCTTGGCCTCAAAGCCGCGTCTTCATCAACCCCCGAGGCATAATTAACCCGGCCCCACTACTCAGACGAGGAAACTGAGGCTGGAGACCGGCCGGTACAGGCGAGGCTGCCTTCAGGCCTGGCCCAGCCCTCACCTGGGGTTTTTGTGGCCGATCTCTCGGTCGAAGTTTCTGCTGTTGACGATTTCCGACCTCCATTCCGTGTCTGCTTGGGGGGAGGGAGCAACTCAGGAACCACGGGAACAGTGGCCACGTCGCCGAGGCCACTGACCCGGGTCCTTTTATCCGACCCGTGGCACCTGAGGGCCAAAGCGGGGGCTCACAGAGCCTCACCGTGGGGGAGGCAGAGCGGGGCTCTAAGGGACGGCACCCGGGACCCCAAGGCCTGGCGCTGCACCCTTCCCCCCGCCCCGCCCACAGCCCCGTCCCTCGCAGGGGGCAGAGCCCCGGGAGGGCCCGGCACTCACTGTAGGAGAACCTCGTCTCCTTCTTCGCCTGCCCGTCCTCGGTGTACTCCCTGCGGGAAGCACGGGCGGCCGGCTCAGCCCAGGGGCTCCGGCAGGCTGACCCCAAGCGGCTCCGGCCGGAAGCAAGCCAGCGCTGGGGCCGACCTCCCCGGGGGAGAAGGCTGCCTGCACCAGCCCGGCGGGAAGGGCACTCGGGAGCCTGGGGAAAGCTCCCATCCTGGGCTCAAATCGGCCCCCACTGGCCTCACGCCAGGGCCTCGGCCCCTCCCTGCCCTCCGGGCTGAGACCTGGCCGTGCCCTCTGCTGCAGGACGGCCCTGCAGGGCCCCCCAAGCCACCCTTCTCCCAGCCCCCCCTACCTCCCAGCTGAGCCCAGCCCGGCCAGCGAGACCTGCCCTGGGACGTCTGCAAGAACAGACAGGGTGTCAGCCAGGAGGTCACCTCTGCTCCCTCGCGGGAGAGCGGACAGGACCGACACAGGGAAAGCTGAGCACAGAGACTGGGGGGGGGGGGGGACACGGATCCCAACGACACCATTTGAGGCCGGGCTCCGGTCACACCTCCAGCCTGTGCATCCGGCAACTTCCCAGACGGGGGCTGCCCAAGCCCTTTGCTCTTGCAGCCACCTTGCACTGGGTTTTTGCAGCCTCCAGGTAAGAGACCACCGGCTATTAATGTGAGGATAATTCCTTTTCCTGCCGGGAACACTTTATACTCTGAATCCCACAGGCATCAAAACGAAAGCCGCCTGCATCCCGTCCTCACACCTGCGCGCCTGTCCCGGCTCACCTGTCCTCCTGCGTCTCCACCCACTGGTACATCTCCACGTGCCGCCGCAGCTTCACGGCCGGAAGGTGGACCCCGTAGTTTGGGTCAGACAAGAGCTTCAAAAGGAATCGGACACACCGAAAAACGAAGGGTGAGACTCACGTCAGCCCCAAATCCCTGGCTCGGGGGAAGCCCGACTGGGAGAGAAATAAAACTCTGTGGCTGCTTCCCGCGGGCAGACTGAGCAGAGCCGCCCGCCACAGTTCCTGACACTGAACGCCTGCGACCGACCGGGACCCTCGCGGTACAGGCCTGGGCTGTGCGGCCAGTTGCGTTGTGCCCCCAACACAAACTAGTTGTCAATCACAGACGGCTCTGGTGACCGGGGCGGTCTGGTGGCCACGCGCCAGACGCCGTGAGTCACAACCACGAGAGCGCCCGCTTGCGAAGCTCACACCCCGTCCCGACACGCCGGGACGTTGGCGACCTGACCTCCCCAAATCTTCAAGGCTGGCCGAGAGCTGCCGCCGTCACTGTCCCGCTGTACAGACGAAGACCTTGACCTCGGGGGGGGGGGGCGCCCGCTGGGAGTCACGCCGTGTGTCCGTCTCCAAGGCCCACGCCTTCGAACCCTCAGCCTGACGACACCCAGCGACGCGCCCTGCGCCCCCGGGGTCAGCGACCTCCGCCAGGCCTACCTTGGACGTCCGCAGGGCTCCGACGACGTGCACCAGCCTCCCCTCGTTCTCGGGGGCCACGCTGTGGATGCTCTCCGGGGACACCACGAGGGACAGCCCCTCGGCCAACGAGGTGGCCGTCTTCAGGGCGCGGCCCTGCGAGCAAAGCGGGGCGGGATCCAGCAGCTCAGGGGGGCCGCTGGCCGCAGAGTCAGGGCAGGGCGGGGCCTCGGGGAGCGCTGGGACCCGTGTCCCCACTTCACCACTGGAAACTGAGGGCTCACGAGCGGCGGTCAGGACGGAACCCGCCATTCCTGCTCTCCCCCGCAGGCTTCCTCCCGCCCACCCACCGGTCTCTGCCCCCCAGCTGGGACGGGGTGTCTCCGCCCGCCCCGTAGCCTCCCCCTTCTCCTCTGCCCGACTCTCAGTCCACGTGGTTTACACAGGCCGATCTGAACCGCCGTCCAGGTCGCGTGACGCAGGCCTTGCCGATCAGAGCCTGTGTCCCTGGGCACAGGGCTTGGCCAAGCTGGGACACTGAGCTCTCCCTGCAGCTTTTGCCAAACTGATTTAGAAAGAAGCGGTTCCCGTTTTCTCCGGGATTGCTAAACTGGATGGATGTGAGCCTGGACTTGTTGGGACTACCTTTGCCACCACAAGGGAGGAGCCTGCCCAAGAAAAACACCGCAGAGAAAAACAGGCAAGAGAGGAAGGAATGGAGATTTCTGGTGACCCAGCGTGAGCACCTGGATCCAACCGTGCCTGAAGCAGGTCCTACCCCCCTAGATTTTCAGGTGTGTGAACTGATCCGTCCCCCTTCCTGTTTACGTCAGTTGTGCGGTGGATCACAACAGAGTTCTAATACAGTACCCCGCTTCGTCGCCTGTAAAACTGAGGCCCTTTATTACCAAATCGAGCTACTGTGTGCACAGCTTCTGCTGCCGACACTGCAGGGACCTCACTCTGCACAGAGGACCTAGACGTCTCACCTCGTTGGTGAAAATTATGTGGAAGGAGAGGAGGAAGGTCACGAGCCCCACAAACATGCCGCCCGAGGTCTCGCTCAGCCGCTCCAGGAAGCCTGGCTCGGGGCTGGTGGTGACTTTGACGTGTTCTCTCCTGGGACCCGTGCTGGAATACTAAGGAAAAAAGCGTGCGTCAAAAATCAGAATGAAAATTTGTTTTTAAAAATAAATTGAATTTTTCTATTTATTTATTTATACTGTTTTTTTGAATTTTAGTCACAGGCGGTAAAAATGCAGATACTTAACGTGCAGTTTGATGGGCTTCTACAAACGTACACCCCCCTTGACCAACATCAAGAGCAAGACACGGAACATTGCTATCACCCCAGGAAGTCTCTGAGCCCCTTTCCTGCCAATTCTCCCCTCCCCCACCACCTACGGGTAACTACGTGAAGTTCTATCAGTAAAGATTACTTTGCCTCTTCTAGAACTTGAGAAAACGGAACCATAGAAAGCAAACTCCTTTCTGCCCCTTCTCTGACTCAGCGTAACGCTGCTGAGATTCCTCCACCTTGTGCTGCTCGTCGCAAGTCTGTTCCTTTTTACGGCTGAGTGATGTTCCGCTCATGACCGTGCCCCACGTGCTGATCCGTGTTCGTGCGTGGCCGTGTCGGGGGGTTCCAGCTTCTCCCAGCTCCTCCTGCCACCTCCCCAGCCCCCACTCCGTCCCCCCGGTTCAGGTGGGGCTGAGCCGGCCCGGCTCCAGGTGGCCCCAGCCCGGCCAAGGAGAGCCTGCCCCGGGACGTCTGTCGGAACGAACAAGGTGCAAGCCAGGAGGTCACCTCTGCTCCCTCGGGGCAGAGAAGCCGGGACTGACACAAGGAAAGCTGAGCACAGAGACTGAGGAGGAGGGAACGGTAACCCTAATGCTACCAAACGGCAGTTTAACTTTGTAAGAAAATGCCAGACTATGTTACAAAGAAGTGATTAGAGACATATTTTTAATTAAATTCAACGAAGCATGAGGGAGCCATCCAAGGGCCGTTCTCGGTCTCGTGAGGCCAGAATAGGGGCAGACAGCCTTTGGGACAGCTGAGTCGGTTACGGATGATGCCAGGAGGTCGTGCTGAGTGTGCGGTGACGGGGAGGGGACTCGGCACTGAAGGAGCGGCCCCTTCCAAGTGGGGTAATGCAGCGGGCTTCCTGGAGGCGGGGACGTTTGAGTGGGACCGTGGAGGCAGACCCCAGGGAGAGGGCGTCCGGCGGGAGAACAACGTGGCTGGTGGTGAGGAAGCAGGGAGCGGTTCTGGGGGGCTCCGCTGGGTTGCGGGAGGCCCGGGGAAGAGGAGGACGGCTGGGCACGCACGGGCAGGCTCGAGGGAGGCCTCCGACTCCAGGGTGCGTGGATCGGACCTTGTCCAGCCAACAAGAGAGGCGGGATTCGAGCGTGTCCACCGCTGATCAAGAGTGCCGTCCTCGAGGGCAGAATTCTGGAACCGGAAGGACTGGGTCTGAAGCCAGGCTGTGCCACATACCAGCTTCGGGGCCTGGAGCAAGCAGCTTAACCTCACTTCCTCACCGGCAAGACTGAGTTAACGAGATTCCCCGTAGCTGGTACTGGGGCTGGCGTCAGGCTGGGGTGGGCTGACAGAAGTCACGGAGACGTAAAGCGGGGCCCACGTGGGCACTGCAGCCCGGCCAGGCCCCGCCCTGGCTCTGGGGGCTCAGAGGAGCGATTCAGATCAGAGTCTCTCAACAAAGCTGCTGTCGCCTTCTGATTGTCTCCGAGGCTTCCGGGCACCCAGGGACCGAAGTCCCTACATCCAGAAATGGTCTTCGCTTTCCACGACATTTGGAAACATTAACTGAATGAGTCGTCACAGGCAGGGAGGTGACCACCAGCTGTCGTAACAGTGACAATGGCAAACACATCAGTCTGTCACACGGCAGCCCGGGGGCAAGCCCAGGGAGGCGGACGCCAGAACGACCCCATTTCACAGATAAGAAAATCGAGGCTCGGTAGTTCAGTCACCTGTCCAAATCACGCAGCCTCTAAAAGGTAAAGTTAGGGTTCACATCCAGGCAGACTGGGGGCTCCTCTCCCAGCAGTCACGCCAGACGAGGGGCGCGCCGCAGGCAGCAACAGGAAAAGGAGGCCCGTCCTCATCCTGGCCTCGCCTCAGCCAGTATCGATACAAGGGGCTCAGAGATGGCCGTGAGGGGAAGGGAGGGGAGTACAGTGGTGCCCGTCAGGCCAGGGCAGGGAGGAGGTGGGCAGGGACAAGACACGCCGGGCCCAGTCTGAACCGAGACTCCCAGTAAGCCCGGAGGATCATGGGGGACCTGTATGTACATCTGTATACTTATATATACATACATGTTCTATGTTATATAAGCACATGACACACATAAATACTGTATATGTTGTATATCATATAAAGACATGATGTTATTATAAAAACATATTTATGACCTATACTATATAAAGACATTTGTGTCATACGTTATATAGACATTACATATGTTATGAATCCTATGAAGACACGTATAACGTGTACAACACGCGTGTACGTCATATACACGGGCGTCCCCAGTGACACACGCCCACTTGGGGCGCAGGAGCCACGAGCACTGCGTGGTGGGAACAGAGGCCGACCCTGGAAATGCACAGAACTGGGTTAGGATCCAGGGCTCACCGATCACCTGCTGTGCTCCCTGGGTGAGCGGCTCCACCTCTCTGATCCTGTTCGCTGACTTGTAAATCGAAGACGCGACAGCACTTTTGTCACAGGTGCTGCTGCTGTTACACTGATTAAGAATTTC